ATTTGAATGTATTTTAAATCATTTCATATAAATATATCCTATTACATTTAAGCTTAGCTGAATACATCATAATGTTACTGCCTTTTAAACTTTACTGTTACATTGTAGGGAATTCTGAATGATTCAGTTTTTGCTCTAGCATTAACAGTTTTCCAACAATAACTGTTTAGGTTTCCTTGTGAATATATGGAAATTATTCCCTAGGATCATAAGTAATTTTTTTTTCTGCTAAAATGTTTATTTTTAGATGGTTACTGCACTTTTTCTCTAAAAGCTGTTTCCTTACGAATCAATTTAAGAGCTACTCTTTAACTCATACCTAGTGCCTGTTGTCATGAATCTCAAGCTCTATTGGTTAGAGGTATAAATTTTTAAATTTCTGGATTGTGAGTAAAGACGAGGACTGCTTGAAATGATGGGATATTTAACCTTTTTTATTGTTATTAACATTGTATTATGTGATACAGTTTTATAGGCACTGGGGATCCCCCCACCCCTCCTTACCCTTCCCCGCATGGTGGATTCCTCCACCTTGTTGCATAACCACAGTTCAAGTTCAGTTGAGATTCGTTCCTTGCAAACATATATCTAGCATAAATTCCAGCGTCTTATTGTCCAGATAAGTTCAGTGGCCTCTTGTGGAGACCTTCTCTAGTCTGAAGATAGGGCTAACAGAGTAATGATCCGGTCAGTTAAAAGCCCCAACAAAACCTCAGTATCAATATACAACATTATGGAATTAATTGACATAGTATTGGGTAAACAATATGTTAAAAATAATGCAAGTTCCATTCTTCGAAACATCTGGGTTGAGACAGTATCAATGACAGGTTCAAAAAATAACCAACAACCAAACAAAAATTACAAGTTAAATCAAGGCAAACATGTGGTATCTAATCTTTTGGGATTCGCTCATTTCCCTTAGCATTATAGTTTCCAGTTGTGCCCATTTAGCCACAAAGAACTGCATTTTGTTTTTTTTAATAGCTGAGTAGTATTCCATGGAGTAGATGAACCAAAGCTTTCTTATCCAATCTTCTGCTGATGGGCATTTCGGTTGCTTCCATGTTTTTGCAATTACTGATTGTGCTGCAATGAACATAGGGATGCATGTTGGTTTGTCGTAAAACAGGTGTTTTGGATATATTCCTAGGAGTGCAATTGCTGGGTCATATGGTATGCATATTTTGAGTTGTTTGAGTGTCCTCCAGACTGATTTCCATAAAGGCTGTACCAATTTGCAGCTCCACCAGCAGTGGAGTAGGGTTCCCTTTTCCCCGCATCCTCACCAGCAAGCGTCGTTGGTGTTCTTGTTTAGGTGGGCCAATCTAACTGGTGTTAGGTGGTACCTCATCGATGTTTTAATTTAGATTTCCCTTATTGCCAGGGAGCTGGAACATTTTTTCATATGTTTGTTTGCCATTTGGACTTGTTCCTTTGTGAAATGTTTGCCCATTTCCCGTGCCCATTTCTTGAGTGGCTTGTTTGTTTTGGTTTTTTGGTTGTTTTGAAGTTCTTTGTATATCCTGGAAATTAGCCCCCTATCGCCTATATAGTGTGCAAAGATCTTCCCCCACTCTGTGGGTTGCTTTTTTACTTTGTTGATTGTTTCCCTTGCTGTGCAGAAACTTCTTAGTTTGATGCCAGTATGTGATACTGGCATCGCAGGCAGAAGCGTAACTCACTGCACCACAATACCAGCACCTTACCATACTAGTTTCCTTTATGTAACATGTTCAATTATTTTCCTTGGGAAAAAACATGTTTAAAATCTGTGAAGAAATGCAAAAAATGGGAAAATAATCTAAGTTTAAATTATGTAGGAACTATGAAAATCTTCACAGAATCACAGAGGAAAAAAAGGATACATAAATTTCTTTTAAGATGAACAAAATAGAAAGAATATAAAAATGCATTTGATTGGTAAGTTTACACATACCTAACTGCAAACTGGAGGCAAAGGAAAGAGTTTGGCCTAGTTAGTGCTAATTTTCACTCAGCACAGAGCTCACCTACTGACAGTAAATACATTGGGGAAAAGCTAGTTAGCAGATAAAGGCTCACATCTGTATTTGTGCCTTTAGGGATTTAGGTGTTATCAGTGTTCATAATACAAGTGATGATTATGATAATTTAATATTATATACAGAGTAATCCCAATACTGTCTATTTACACAAATATAAAAAGTGGCTCATAATTAGAGCAATTTACCATTATCCAAGAATGAGGACTCTGGAATGAGTGGGCCAGAATACATGTCATTCATTTACTGATACTGAGTTAATTCCTCTTATCCAATTTTTAAAAAGATTTATCTGGAAGACAGAGCGACAGAGCAAGAGGCAGAGAAACAGAGAGAGAGAGAGAATCAGAGACAGATCCTCTATCTGCTAACATACTCCCCAAGTGGCTATAAAAAGCTGGGACCAGACTGAAATTCAGGTCTCCCACAGATGTTGGAGGAAATCTCAAATTTAGGCCATTGTCTGCTACCTTTCCATGGGCATTAGCAGGAAGCTGGATTAGACCAGAGCAGCCAGGAATTGAGCAACTGTTCTGATATCAAATGCCGAAGTTACAAGGGACGGCTTCATTTGTTGTGCCGCAATGGCAATTCAGCCTAAACAATTTGCTTAGTCTCTCATCTTAAAGCAAGGATAAAACATATAAAATTTTAATACATGGAATGCTGTCAGAGCAACTGACTCGATCCGTAGTTGAAGAATTTAGAAATGCACACAATTGCAGTGTTATGTAACATCTCAATAATCTGGCCTCACTGTATCTCTGGTCATAAACAACATTTCCTACACTTTGCAAAGCTTCCTTGACACATACACTCGATTACTTCTGTGTGAAAATATACATCCCCAAGTGACTTGAAATTCAAACAACTAGTGTAAGAAACTTTGGACATGGAACTTCAGTGACAGGTTAAGGGGCTAAGACATAATTTATCATTGCAATTTAATACCTTCAATGGACTCCTGTATAAAACAATATTCAGAAAATCTACAAAATGTTTGTGCTGTGAAAAATCAACACATAGATTTCAAAATTACTTATACAAAAACAACATCTTTAAAGTTCATTTTCATGACTCTTTTTAATTTTGATTTTTCATGATACAGTTTCTTAGGCTCAGGAATTTCCCCTTCCACCCTTCCCTTATCTCCTCACCCACTCTGTTTTCCCTTATATTACAACAATAGTATAATTTTTCAACAAAAGTCACAAGCTCATCAGTTAGCTATTTAAGTATATCACGGCATTGTAAGTGTAGACAATGGTAGAAAGCCATTATTCAGTCTCTCTGGATAAATATATGTATATACAGGTTTACATATATATCTACCGATTTTGTATTTTGCATGAAGGTTGTCTAATATCAAAGAAAAGCATATTGTTCCACCAGAGAAAAAAAATTTGTCCCTTTTGAATTGGCTTATTCCACTGAGCATAATGGTCTATAGCTGGGATCATTTTATGTCAAATGGTAGGATTTGTTTATTCCTCTTTCAGTAAGCATCTGGGTATTTCCATTTCTTTTCTATGATATATTATGCCATTGTAAATACAGACTCATAGGTCCCTTTGTCATATGCAGATTTCATTTCATTTGGATATATTCCCAGAAGTGGGATAACTGGCTCATATGCCATTTCAATCTCATAAGGACAAATATCATCTCGTCTTTCTGATACAATGCAAACTTCATGCAAAATATAAGATCAGTAGCCTTTCGATACTGTTTTTGCTAAAACTCATATGTTTTGATATTTTCTTATTTTCATTTCTTCAAAATAACTTTTTTTTAATTAAAATATTTCCTGACTCATATGTATGATCATACAGTAGTACCATTCTCTCCAAGATTTTTTGTTTTCTTTTTTAATTTTTTAATTGATACATTGGTCATTCAGTAACACATTATTCAATTCCATGCTGTTACAAATTTTTTTAACTTTCTTCCTGTTGCTGATTTTGTTTTATGGCTATGGCTTTTAAGGGAATGTATAGTAACTGTGTAATAGATACCATCATATCCAGGTGCGAAGATATAATGCACTATGCATCTCTATTTCTGAACCAAAGATGGAATCCAAATGAAAATGTTAAATATGTCTTGACAATGTAATGCTGTACTTATGCCATGTCTGTACCCACAATGTCAGGATAAATATAAATAGTAGAATGATGGACTTATGATTGCTCATGAAGACGCCTACTATTGTAATGATATAGGGGAAATCAGTGGAATAGGGAGGGGATTTGGGAAAGGGTTAAGGGACAATTTGAACTACATTGAATTTGTTCTCTTTATATTAATACCACATTAACATGAAAAAATAAGAGACTCAACAAATTGATATGAAAATGCTAGTACTCCAAATGAGTTATGAAACTCATATGAGAACATGACTGTCATCCCATTTTCACTTTTCTATGTATGTGTATGGTGTGCAGCTTTAAAGATATGTAAATCAATGCACAGTATACATATGTATATAGTACGTTTTGTATACATACAGCATGATAAATAGTACTAATGAGTGAAAACATTCTATATAAAGTATGGCACATGCTAAAAAAATGAACAAAGTTTCTTTGTGAGGTATGCCTTTCTCAAAATATGTTTGTGAGAAAAAACTTTGGTGGAAAGTGGAAATACATTATTTTAATTCAATGAAAATTGAGCCTAAGAACTTCAAGTTATAAATTCATTCAGAATAAATTTTAACATATTGGGGATACCTGATATAAAACTGGATGCACAGTCCTTACTTCTCTGAAAAATATTGTAATACCTGATATTCCTTTTATAGAGATCGTGTGAATAACAGTGGAAAGTTTCTACAAGGTCTTGTATTTTCATGAAAATGATGCCGGGAATGTTTTTATGACTTACATGAAATTGTTAACACATAATATGAGTATGTTATTTTTTATAATACCCACTTATTTTGACAATTAAGTAAAATAAATGTAAGAATAAGCAATGAACATGGAAAATGTGCAAAATACATCTCTAATTAGGTAGTAACTCCCCAAACTGATGGGAATTTTCTTGCACTTTACCAAGAAGGTAGGAAGGAAGAAAAGACAAAAGAAAAGAAAAAAGGAGGTAGAGAGTTAGGGAAGGAGAAAAAAAGAGATGTTTAGGAATTATCAACTTTTAATTAATTATCAGAATTCATATATTTTTTTCAGAAAGATTAAGAAGATGAAACTAGGGAGAGAGAAAATCAGAAAAAAAATCCATATACCATCATTGTATGCAAGACCTGGGAAAAAAGTTGATTATGTAACACTGCCATTAAAGGTGTCAGCATATAGAACAAGGATGAGTTAAAGAGGAAGTGATTGACCATTTCATGAAATAATATATGTATCAATCAGAATGTCTTAAGATTATTAGAACTTCACTAGGTCAATTTAAGAAAAAATAAAATTATTAAATTCAATGCTACATTAAATGTTATAAGAATAAATAAATTTAGGAATATGTTGGGATGATTAGATTTAAATTATTGGTGTACAAATTAGTTGGAAGCATCATGTAGAACATCTTTACTCCATTAATTGTGTTTCTTTCCCCATCAGGGATCACTCATCTAAAGTGCTATATACATAGTGAATTGAAAATTGATGAAAATACTTGCAAAAGAAATATACACATATGTTTAATATTCCCTAATTTACCTTTAGGTATACCTAAAAATAAGCTTTCTGGTCACTTGGAGTAAGTGTGAGAATCAAGCCATGGACCATGAACTTACATGATACCATGCTCTTTCCAATGACACCCGATTTCACCCCTCCTCCTTCTTGCTGCTGGGCATCCCAGGACTTGAAGCTCTTCACATCTGGATCGGTTTTCCGTTTTGTGCTGTATACATGATTGCACTGATAGGCAACTTCACCATTCTCTTGGTGATCAAGACAGACAACAGCCTACACCAGCCCATGTTCTACTTCCTGGCCATGTTGGCTACCATCGACTTGGGACTCTCCACAGCCACCATCCCTAAGATGCTGGGGATCTTCTGGTTCAGTCTCAGAGAGATTATCTTTGGTGCCTGCCTTATGCAGATGTTCTTCATCCACAATTTCACTGCCATGGAGTCCACAGTCCTCCTGGCCATGGCCTATGATCGCTATGTGGCCATCTGCAACCCCCTTCGATATAGCACCGTCCTCACCAACAAGGTTGTTTCTATGATTGGTCTTGGTGTGTTAGTGAGGTCATTTATTACTGTTATTCCATTTGTGTTTCTGATACTACGATTGCCCTTCTGTGGGAATCATGTCATTCCCCATACCTACTGTGAGCACATGGGACTTGCTCGTCTCTCTTGTGCTAGCATTAAGATCAACATTATTTATGGTTTATGTGCTATTGGAAATCTTGTGTTTGACATTATTGCCATTGCTCTTTCTTATGTTCATATTCTCCGTGCTGTTTTCCGTCTTCCTTCCCGAGAAGCCCGACTCAAGTCCCTCAGTACATGTGGGTCTCATGTTTGTGTAATCCTTGCGTTCTATACACCAGCTCTCTTTTCTTTTATGACACACCGTTTTGGCAGGAATGTTCCCCGTTATATCCACATACTTTTGGCCAACTTTTATGTTGTAGTGCCACCAATGCTCAATCCTGTCATATATGGAGTCAGAACCAAGCAGATCTATGATGGTGTGAAGAAGTTATTACTGCATAAACTAGGAATGGAAAAGGGATAAATATCACTTCATATATCTGTAGTTTCATATGTAATTTTACGAAAATTCAGACGTGTCCTGTAGTATTTAAATGCATCGAGTTGCCACCTACTTTTTCTCCACTTCTTATTGTTTTCTTCTTTTTCCATTTCATTTTGATTTTGGCAGTTTGTACCAACTCTGTTTATTATTTTTAATATCTTCTTGATTTTTTATGTTAGATTGGAGTGTATCCATTTTTGGTAGAATAGCTAATACTTTTATCAATCAATATAATGACAAACATTTCGAGTTTTCAGGATGCTTTGGATAAATTGTGACACTATGACTTTTTAGAAACTTTTAGAACTTACAGATTTTAGACTTAGCAAGCTCGATTCAGAAGGATAGTTTGTCCTTCAATTGTTTAATAACATTACAATTTTCTTTTTGCCTCTCCTTTCAAGAAGCATGAGGTTTGCACTCTGTTAGAATCATACACATTCCACACAACGATTGTGGTTTTCCAATAGTCAAGCTCCTTAGATTTAATATAGATGATAGATAAGTAGATGATTAATAGATAGATATGCATATACATAGACAATTGAACAAAACTCATGGGTTTTTCACAATAATAATTATTTTCTTGTGATTCCTTATGGTAGTTTTTACTGCATGATTTGTTTTGATTTTATACAAAAAATTTAGAAAAAATATAGTCAATTCCTTTGACATGTCTGTCCACCTTGCTAAAGCTTTGTAGAAGAGATCATTTTCAGCTCTTTCTGTTAGTAAAAATATATTAGAAGATATTTTCAAATTACCTACTTTTTCACTTATAAAGCATCATTTATATAGCCTGTTTCTCCTTGTCTCCTTTAAATTTTCACATGTATGGTTATTATTATCACATACAGTCAATGTTCATTCTAATGTTCTCAAATGCTTCCTGGACTTTTACTATTCATTTCTCTCTGCTTCCGCTCCATTAACACCCTGAACAAGCTGTTCATTATCACCAGACCTCAGTCTCAAGTCCTTGGGCAATCGCTGCCAAAAAATTGTTATGAAAATTGCATGTGGGCCCGGCGCGGTGGCACAGTGATTAAGGTCCTCGCCTTGCACGCCCGGGATCCCATATGGGTGCCAGATCTATCCCAGCAGCCCCGCTTCCCTTCCAGCTCCCTGCCTGTGGGGTGGGAAAAGCAGCAGAGGACGGCCCAAAGCTTTGGGACACTGCACCCGTGTGGAAGACCTGGAAGAGGCTCCTGGCTTCGGATCGGCATAGCATTGGTCGTTGCGCTCACTTGGGGAGTGAATCATCGGACGGAAGATCTTCCTCTCTGTCTCTCCTCTCTGTATATCCGCCTTTCCAATGAAAAAAAATAATAAAAAATAAATCTTAAAGAAAAAAAGAAAATTACATGTTGCTGGTGTCATTGAGTTTGTGGAACAGCAAGCAGCTCTTAGATTTGGTGGAATGGGCTGAATATATCCCTGCTTTCTCTGAACTACTACTGGCTGTTCAAGTGAAACTCCTGAGAACTCATGCAGGAAAATGATTACTGCTTGCAGCTACAGAGAGGTCCATGGTGTATAAGGATGTTTTGCTTTTGGGAAACAGCTACATAATTTAGGGCAACAGCTGTGAATCTGATCAATCAAGTTCTAGTTGAACTAATCAGGCCATTTGAAGAAATTCAGATTGATGACACCAAGCATGCTTGTTTGATCTCAACTCCACAAACGCCTCTCCTTGGCCCAGAACAAGCTTCTGAACAAAACCCGGACAAAATAGCTGTCATCTCGCATCAACCTCTCTACCAACAGAAGTGATTTTGAGAAAATTTTACTTCTGAAAAGCACTGCATAAATGTGAAAAGTTGGTCTTGAAGTATTTCAGTATGGTGCTTTTGGTTATCTCGTAGTCAAAGCTTTCATGTAGTGCTATTTTAAAATGATATCCATTTTCCTAGCTTTTGTGTTCATTTTGGGTTTTTTTGTGTGTGTGTGCTCTGCATAAAACTTCACATACAACTGGTATATGTTTGTGGCTGAAATTGTTTATATAGTGCTTTTTTCCAACTTTGTCTATACCGTGCTTGAACCAATTGAATCCTACATACTACTTTCACTTGTTTCCTTAACATTAAGCCTGTAAATAGTTGCTTTATTGTGATGTGATGCAAAAGTAAGAATGCATTTTAAAAAGCAGAATAACAAATGAGAAATCTCAGGTTAATATAAAGTGAACCAAGTGTTTGTGAATAAACTTGCAGATTAGAAAAATAAAGCCATGGCATAAAATAGAGTATATGTCTTTGAAGAAGAATTGTGTGCATTTTGTGACAGAGATGCATCTCTTTGGTCCGTAGTTGAATGACCAGGTAATCCTTGAAACTGAGGGTGTACTAACGGAGAGCATGCTCATTTTGTCAGTAGGAAGCAGGCTAACCTGTAACAAAGAGCTTTCCAATATAATGGCCCCATCAAGGGAAGCATTCATTCCTTCTGAAACAATCTAGAAATGTTCATCCACAGAGCAGGAAGTAGTGCATGGACACCACAGCATGACAGGGAGACATGAAGCGTGGAAAGCCTGTGCTAGGTAAAGCTCTACAACTCGAGCAGAAAGCGAACTCTGGCCAAAAGCCTAGGAGGAACCTATTAGCCATCCCGCACATATGTGCCTCAAGCAGTCCTCACAGAACCCCCATTAGGCAGGTATTAGCATCTCTTATAAATAAGAAACCTTTAGCTTGGTGGATTAAGGGTCATAACCATAGTTTATAAACCTAAAAAATAAGAAAGACACTGAATGAGATAAGAAAAAAAAATGCAGCAAAGGGGACCGCCAACACTCAACAAGCAGGAGGTTTTGTGCTAATATCTCCAGCACAGGCTGTGACAATCCTCCTGGCTTGATCTCTTCTGTGTTTGTTCATACTTTAATGTGAAATCTCATCATGGAGCTTGTTCCTATCCCGTTACTTCTGGAATGTTTTCATGATGGATATTTTCAAGTTTACATAGGAAAAAGAGAAAATATTCTTCACAAACAGAGAACACCAACTCAAGAAATCGCTTTCACAATTGAAGATTGTGGTACCTTACAGCAGATAGGAAGAAGTAAGGAAATGCAAAGGCTGAGGCAAACCAAGCTGGAGAAGGGCTGTTGTTTTACAATACACCAACTATGATCCTCACACTGGTAAGGAATACTTTGCAATGAAAACACCAATGTTGAGTTCATGTCTGACCTACTAAAAACATGCTCAGGAGGAAGTAAAATATAAATTTCTCAGCTATTTTCCCTTAGGTAATCAATTTGTTGAAGATTTACTCATCTGAAGGGCAGCCTAGGTACAGAGAGAGAAAAGGGGAGAGATTTTTCATCTGCTGGTTTACTCTTTAAATGGCTACAATGGCCAACGGCCAGGATTAGGCCAAGTCAATGCCAGAATCCGGTAGTTTCATTCATGTCTCCCTCTGCGTTTCCATGCACATTAGCTATGATTTGGAAAAAGTGGAGCAGCTGAGGCTCTAACCTAATGGGATTCTAGCATTGAAGGCAACTTAACACACTGTGCCACAATGTCAAGCCCTCACTCCCATTTCTCATATAACCAAATGTTATCCACCAAATGTTATGTTATATTTTGTTCATTTTGATGCATATATATTTTTAATATATTTATTTTAATATATCTCATATATATGTTAATAGATATATGTTCATCAGTTACTGGATGTTTGGCTTTAATATTTACCTCACATCATACATTAAAGTTAACTTAAAAAGTAATTATGGAGCCAAATATGGGACAAAATTAAAAACTCTCTGGGGGAACAGATATTCAATTAAGTTTCATTAGATAAGATTAGGCCAAATATTTTGCTTTTTTAATGCAAGACCAAAAGCAAAGATACTCAAATAACTTTAATGAAAGAATTTCTGAGTGAAAAATCATTTACTTGTAAAGAATGCCACATAAACTGAAAATATTAACCTGCTTGACTATAAAATTAGTTTTACGTTAAATAATACTGCTGTAAATATTTAAGTACATATTTTTATGGATGTTTGCATTACATTTTCTTGAGTATAGTTCAGTGAAAACTGTGGAATTAAAATAAATTTATGTTGAACATTTTAAGAAAAAAATCATGCTGTTTTCACAGTATATAGCTAATGTTTGAGGCTGTCAATTTTCTGAATCTTCAATAATGTATGTCTTCTTTTTTAATTCATTCTAGTGTTTATTAAATGATTTAGCACTCTGCTTTCAATCTGTGACCCCTAAAAATTAAGTGTGCTGAGCAACTCCTTATGTGAATCAGAGAGAAATTTCTATTCAAGCCCTCAATTTATTTTTCTTGTACTATACATATTTTAATTGCTGAGCGCGGGTTTTCTTTCTATTTATGTGTTCTAGAATCAGTTACTTTAATTCTAGTCAGAACTTAGAGCAAGGAACTGAACCCAGGCACTCGAATATGGCATACAAATATCTTGGCTAATGAACTAAATGCCCACTATCTAAGCATACCTTTAAATTCATTTTTCCACAATTTTAAATACTTTTGTTATACCCCATTTTAATTTAGCTTATTTGGAGGGAGGAAGCAGTCCAATTTATATCTTTGGCATGTAAATATTAGGTTTTCCCAGCACAATTGATTTGAAGGATTATTCCTCATTGTGTTACCGTCATAGAATTATCAAAAAAAAAAAAAAAACCTGGAAGGGCTCTGTGTACTTATCTTTGAAACATCAGACTGTTCAATTAACTATGAAGACTGTTGAATTATTGAAAATATAAGTGGTCATTTTACATGCTTTCATTTCTGATTTTAAAGGTAGATTTGATCCAGTTAACAGCAATTTAGAAGAAAAGGATGCAAAAGAAAACCAGGAAAAATAAGAGGGAAAATGTCCTAAAATGTGAATAAGAAAGTAAATGCAAATTAATTTCATTCTGTTGGAAAATAAAGTTAAACAGGATAGTTAAAATTTTAATAATGTCCATTACAAAAGAGATAAAATATCCTGAAAAACTTACAAATCTACAAACATCAGCAAAGTGAGTAGATTTAAAGGAAGAATTAAAGAAAATAAAGGGAAGTATGAAAGTTCAAAAAGAGAGAAAATAAACAGCAATAGAATATATGATTTTACAAAATTCCCCAGGAAGTACATGAACACCTGGAGGCTGAACAACTGCTACTAAATGAACAATGTATCAGAGAAGAAATAAAGGACAAGATCAAAATATTTATGGAAACCAATGAAAACTCAAATACAACATTCCAAAACTTGTGGGACACCACCAAGCCAGTGTTGCATGGTAAGTCCATAGCAATCGGCACCTACGCCAAAGCCCAAGAAAGATACCAATTACAAGAATTAAACACCTACCTCTAGAAATTAGAGAAACAGCAACAAAATGACACTTCAAACAAAAGGAAACAAGATATCATCAAAACAAGGGAAGAAATAAACCAAATAGAAGTTGAAAAAACTATACACAAATTCAATGAACCAAAAAGCTGTTTTTTTGAGAAGATAAACAAAATAGACACCCCACTGGCCCAACTGACAAAGAAAAAACAAGAGAAAACGAGAATTAACAGCATCTAGGATGAAAAAGGCAACATAACTACTGACACCACAACCATTAAGAAAATAATCAGAAACTACTATGAACAACTATATTCCAACAAATCAGAAGATCACCAGGACATGGAAAGGTTCTTAGACTTCCACCACTTACCAAAAATTAGCCCAGAGGCAACAAAAGACCTGAACAAACCTATAACTGAAGCAGAGATCAAATCAGTGATTAAAGATCTCTCAATGAAAAAAAGTCCAGGTCCAGTTGGTTTCACTCCAGAATTCTACAAAACATTCCAAGCAGAGCTAACCCCATCCTCCACAAACTCTTCAAAGCAATAGGAAAGGAAGCAACCCTTCCAAACTCATTCTATGAAGCCAACATCACCTTAATCCCAAAACCGGATAGAGAACTAACAGAGAAGGAAAACTACAGACCCATCTCCCTGATGAATATTGATGCTAAGATTCTCAACAAAATCCTAGCCAACAGAATTACAAAAAACATCAGAGAGATTATTCATCCGGATCGAGTAGGATTCATCCTTGGAATGCAGGGATGGTACAATATCTGCAAATCCATAAATGTGATACACTACATTCAAAAACTGAAAAACAAGAATCACATAATAGTATCAATAGACGCAGAAAAAGCTTTCAACAAAATCCAACACGACTTCAGGCTAAAAACCCTAACCAAGGTAGGCATAGAAGGAACAATCCACAACATAATCAAAGCAATATATGACAAACCCAATGCCAGCATCATACTGAATGAAGAAAAACTGAAACCCTTCCCACTGAGATCTGGAACAAGACAAGGATGTTTGGCTACAAGGAAAATACTGTTTTAAATGTTAAAAGCAATGCAGGGCTGGGGGCAGTGCAGTATACAGCAGGTTAATCCTCCCTCTGACAGCAGCATCCCACAGCTGCTCCCTTCTGATCCAGCTGCCGGCTTGTGGCCTGGGAAGGCAGCAAGGAGCATCCGCATCCTTGGGCCCCTGCACCCACATGGGAGTCCCAGAGGACACTCTTGGCTCCCGGCTTTAGATCAGCACATGATATCCAGATCATCCTAAGTTGTGACAAGTACATCAAATACTGCAAGATTCAAAATTTCCCAAAGCATTATGCTGTTCTATAGTGTCTCAAAATAAGACACTGATTTTTGTGAATTTCCAGTGATCAGGATGATGCCAAGCATAAAATGATTAAGATAAGTGGCAGTAAATATGAGTCAGGAGTAGTAACACAATCCCAGTCCTCTCTCTGTGTACTTGACGAGAAATGGGATTTGAAAAGCAAGTGTGATAAATCAAGAGGATGATTGTTTCAGGGGATCGTTCTCATTAAAACTATGTGCAGACATCTTGGTCTTTTTTCTCTCTCCCTAGGAATATTTCCCTACATGAATGCCGTCTTTTTGTAATTATGTCATGACCAAGCATTTTTTCATCATTATGGAACTGATGAGTTCTACTGTGTCTGGAAGTTAGTTTATTTACAATTATATTGAACGAAAGCACTTCCATTGTGTGTGTGTTTTCAATTTGGAAGTCCAATTATTTTCTCATTCTTCCAAAATAATTACATTATGGTCTCTATAGGGCCACTTTCAAAGGTCGTTTTTCTAATGATTCCTTCTGGTACCAGCAGGGGTCAGGAGTGGTCCATTGATTCCTTTCTTTAAGACTATCAACTGGCTTCAGGACTGGTGAGATCTTCAGGGTTTGGGCCTGGAGGAAGAGATAAGAACCTTCTGCAAAGCTTATCTGGAAAGCTCATCTGAAGAACGAAGTGTCAAGAAACTACAAACCCACAAGACTTAAAGACTCAAGTTATACAAACATTTGTCATTCAATTGTATTAATACTGCTTTTCATTTCTATATTTATTTACCTATGATAGGGCTTCTAAAAGTTTACGGAAATTATATGCTATGTTTTAATTGTTCTCTATTAACTTCTTGGAGTATGCTTATTTCATCTATTCTTTATTACATATCTTATTATGTTCATCATAATATCTCTAAAATGTTGACATCATAATTGGAACAAATAACTATCTTTAACTCACAAACATGAAAAAAAGGATGACATCCTTCCTCTTTTAGCTGTGGCCATCTGTGTTAAGCACATATGAGAATTTTCTCCCAAGATTAATTTGATTTGATCACATGATGACATAATGATCTCTATAAGGAAAATTTACCTTTTCTTTAATATCTTCAGTCTGTTTAAGAAGATGTGAGACAGCTTAAAATGAAACCAACCACAAAACTGGCAAGCACAAGAAGAAAACGAAACAGAATCGCGGAGAGGGTGAATAATTCTATGTATTTTTGTTCATTTCCTTTATCTGCAGTGTTTATTCTTTGACTTTCATCTACTTGAAACAATAACGTGCAGAGACAGAGAGAGGTCTTCCACCTGCCACCTGCTGGTTTATTCTCAAAGTGTCCATTGCAGTCATTGCTGCATCAGACCAACACTGTGAAGCCTGAACTGCAGCCCAGGGTCCAAGGACGAGCCAGGGGCCAAGGCACTTGAGCTGTCATCTAATGACACCCAGGCTGGAAGCAGAGCAGACAAGTCTGCCACTGCCAGCCCATGCAAGAGAAGGACACTCCAAGCGGCAACTTCACCGCTACACAGCGTGACCTGCTCTTGTCATCAACTGTTTTAAGTCAACAAACAGTAAGTATGTATATTCATTCTCATATACATGAAAGCTCATAGAATGTTTTGAACAATGTATACATTAATGAAAGATTAGCTGAGTTCCTCATCAATCCTCCGAGTTATGATTTGAAAAGGATAAGGTATGAAAACTATTATTTTAGTAAATTTTAAGTATGATACAGCACTAAAACTTATTCCTCTAGTCTAACTGAAACTTTCTTTTTTTGCTTGTTTATTTTTATTTAATTCTTAACTAAAACTTGCAACGTCATCCCTTGCCATATCCCTTCCCTCACACCACGCCCAGCCTCTGGTAACCACTTTTCCACCGTTTGTGATGACATCAGTTCACAGAAAAATCTAATTTAAGTTTTACTATAAAGTGAACAATGTTAATTAATGATAATAAATACTGAAATTATTACACATACTTAAAAATTATCTCTTCAAAGATCCATAGTAGGCCCAGATTGTCTGGTTAAGGACCCTTGTTTTCAAATAAAGCAATTTGTGAGGACTCCCCAGGAAAGTGAATAAAGATGTGGAATTATTAGACTCCAAGTTCAGTGTTTCTCCAAGTGGTTTCTACATCTTCAGTGAAGATATCTGTACTCATTTCTATCAGTCCCCGCATTTTATTCTCACATAGAGGATAAAAACAGCTTTGCCAGCAATTAAAAAAAAAGCAAGCCACATTTAATACTCAAAGCCTTCAGAAAAGATCCAGAAAGCTTATAGATGTTACAGAGAATTTTTACATTTACATTAGAATTCATTTTAATTCATGGAAATTACACTACCAGAATCATCTTTATATGCCAGGTCAGGTGTTATTAAAAAGAAAATATAAATTTCTCTGTTGCCAGTAACTTCCATATCTATCCTCCTCTTTCTTTTTTTCTTTTATGTGAAAGACAGAGTGACTGAGGGAGATCTACCCACTGATTGACTCCACACATGACCACAAGAGCCAGTTCTGGACCAAGCTAAAACCAGGAGCCAGGAACTTCACACTGCTCTTCCATGCTTGAACCATCTTCTTCTGCCTTCCAGACACAACAGCAAAACAAAGCTGAGAAGCTGGATCTTCAGCTAGAGCTCTGGTATGGGAAAGTGGTGTCACAAGCCACGGCTTAATCTACCGGCCATAACCTCAGTCTAACCACTTCTTCCTGAGAAAGATAGGAGAAGGAAAGTATCTCCTAAAATTCACCTGCTCCATCTACCTTGGAAAGCACTCAAAAATGGAGTCGAGGTCCAGGCAGAGTAACAGGCAGGGAGCACTCGCCCAGGCACTGCCCAATCTCCTTCACAGTGTGGAGCCATATCCTCGAGGATGACGAAGGATGAGGCCATGGCTTCCCTGCAAGACCCACGTTCCCAGCTAACCTTTCTCCTGCCATAGAGACATGCTGCAAAGCCTTGAATGAAGACTAACGCTGCCCTTGACCTTTAGAGCATAAAGTTTGCCAAGGCACAAAAATCAGCCATGAGTGAAATGCTGGCCTTAAGTAAGATAAAGGAATCTGGGATGTCAACATATTATGACAGGAAGGAAGGGAGGTTTTCACACATGTTCTCCAGGATATTTCTGAAATGAGTCATTGCTAGGAAGAAAAAATTCCAATACACGAGCTGACTTCCCTGCAGGCCTCCTTCGTTTCTCCTGTAAAGTGCTCATTTAATCTGAGAGATGCAGTGCTCCTGGGTTTCCTTTGCCTTTGCCGTGAAGTGTGAGAACAAACTATTTTGTGTAAATCTCATTTCAAGGCTTACCAGCCATAGCTATATGGTGATACTGGAGTAAAAGTAAAATTATATTTCCTCAGGTTCCTAGAATTCCTATAAATTTCCATGATATCCTAGACATGATAAAGCATTTTTATCTGAACCCAGGTGGAAATTAGAATATGCCAATCTCCATAGCCTGCCAAATCACACATGAACAGGGCTGCGTTTCAAAGCAGACTTGATTTGGAAGGATCAACTGCTCAAGAACAGGGATAAATATCCAAGAAGATCACTGGAGAAACAGCAGATGATAGGTTTATTCAATTCTTTATTAATATCTAACTAGATTATTTTGTTTCTTTTTAAGAAACTGCTTTGAGGTTATCTTTGGTAAAGACAGCATGGAGAAATTAATATCTAATAGACCATACAAAGAAGAAACAGAAATGCATTTTTCTCTTAGAAGTTCACATATGCTACACTGAAAGAAAAACAATTCTGATTTTATATTATTATTGATATCATTATAATTAAGAGCTAACATTTACAAGGGATTTATTTAGTGTGTCACTCTCATGATTTTAAGTTAGGTTAACTAAGCTTAATACATTTATAAAATAGGTTCTATGATAGTTCTAACTTTATAAGCTGAGAAATCTAAGCATTGAGATTTTAAGTATGTTGCCTATAAATAAGTTTGTTCATTGATAAACATGAAAATAGAACCCAGGCCAGACCTGCTGTCCCATATTGCAGGACTCCCATTGGGACACAAAACTAGTCAGAAGTTGATGCAGGACTTCACGCAGCATTGCCTGTGGTTTGAACGTTGAATCGGTATATGATCAAGAAAATGCAAGAGTCTGGGAATATCTGGATGGAAGAAAGGTAAATAAAAAATAAAATAAAAATAATGATTAAATAAAATAGAAATGACAAATACGACTCTTGAGTTTAAATCTTTGATTAGTCACTATTAGCTGTATGTAGCTTTTAGCTCAACACTTATCTGGAAGATACTGTCAAAGTATTGAGCATGAGGGAAAAGTATCTCAATGTCTTCCTCAAATATCTGTCAATAGTTATGATAATAATTATAATTGTTGCAAATTAAAGATAAGGGATCAGCGTGGTAGCAGTCTAATCCTCTGCCCCATAGTGCCAGCATCCCATATGGACATCAATTTGTGTCCTGTCTGCTCCACTTCCAGTCTGCTCATGACCTGGGAAAGCAGTGGGCAACAGCTCAAGTCTTTAGGACCTGAATCTATATTCCTGGATCCCAGTTCCAGAAAAGCTCAGCTCTGGCCATTGCAACCATTGCAGGATGAACTAACAGATGATATACCATATATCCTCTCTCTACCTCTGTCTCTCCTTCACTCTCTGTAAACCTCTGCCTTTGAAATAAAACTAAGTGCATCTTTAAAAAAATAAACTCAAGGTTATGGGGATATGGCAGACTGAAGACTCTAAAGAGTATAGACAAAAATCTTGTTTTGCAAATATATAAGTGAGCAATTCACTACATTTGGTACTATTGGGAGAGATACAAAGTGGGCTTGATGCTTTTTAAAGTTGTCAACATAATTAATTTTAAATGTCCACAGAACATATAAGTAAAGGTGCCCAATGTGCTATTGTCACAAAATGTTAAATTATCTCTGTAACAAACTGTATAAAAATATTTCCAGTGGAAAATGAAGTGTGTGCAGGAGAAGAACCCAGCAGCCATGGCTTTTACTCCTGGGTTGTCTTTGTCTTTTCTGGGCTGTATTTGCACAGAATGCTCTCGAGACATCTTTACTTGTTGCCTTCTTGGTTATTTATTTTCCTTTTGTTGCCACTTGTATTCCTTTTTTTTAAAATAAAATGCTTTTTCCCTTTTCTTCATGGAATTAAGATGGTCCATGCAGGTTTAGATATAAAAGCACATACAGTGGTGAAATCTGCATAATATAATATTCCATTGTTTAGTTTCCTCCACTAGCCTTAATTTTAACATTTAAGTCAATGGCCATGTATTAATATACCCAATTTGCATGTACAGATCAATGAATTTTTGAAAACATACTCACACAATAACAACTCAGCTAAGAACAAAATGAACTTGTCTTAGACGACCTATTTGCCCACTCTTTTTCATCCCTTTAACTGTCAGCAGACTTGATCACTCTCCCATCTGATCCACTTCTATTATGTTTAATTCATGCCTTATTTTCAAAATTTTATAGCCATTAAATATACTATGTTTCTTATGAATGACTTAGTTATTCCATGTTCCATGTGTTAACTATTTTTGTAATATCTGCCTTTGTTTTTCATGGTTGGATAATATTCTACTTTATAAATATGCCATAATGTGTCCAATCGCTTCAATGTTGATACAAACGTAGGTCCTGTCTAGCTTTTGGTTATGATATATACTGCTGCTACAAAAATCTTGGGTATTTGTATGCACATGACACACATAGATATTCATATTTGTATTTCAGGAAGCTTCCAGGTCACACAATATATATACATTCAACTTTAATACATTCTGCTGTTACAGAATGAAGAAAGGAATTTCAGACGTTGCCTCTTGTCCAAGAATTTCTACATGGACCAGAACTCTGCTCATTGTGAGGATTACTGAAAGGAAGAAACCTCCTGCTGCAGCAGTCAGGGGAACACAACGGGAAGAAAGGCCATGTTGGCCAGTGCTGGATCTTCTACATATAAAACAGCTTTCCCTGTCTGACCCCTTCCTGAAAATTAACCATTCAGGGAGGAGCAAAATCACAACCCATCATAAGGTGGATCTGACAACCAGTAAGGGAACTGAACGTGTATTCTAGGGAAGCAGGACATGTGAAACAATCAGGAAACTGATGTTGGAGTGCCCATTTTGCATAGAAGTATGCAAAGTGCTCAACCAATTCTATCCAGCAAACTCAACATCTAGAGATCATATTAGATATGTTCCCTGCTCTCCTGCTTCTCTGTCCCTTAGGGCTCCTGTAAGTTACAGCATGCACACTTTCTTTCCTGCGTTTTCCCTTCCTTTCTGGGGTCCCTTGGTATATCCCCATCACTGTTAAACTGTTTAATCTCCTACTAGGGTTTCTTGTTATTTGATCAGCCTTCAATGCAAAGGAGGCTTTTTTTCTACACTTCACGTGCTTATGATTTTATAACAGATCTGTGCAAACAGTTGTTGTTATTGCCACTTTATAACTGAAGAAATGGAGTTCTAGCACACATAGTTGTTCATGTCCACAGCCTGGAACAGCAATCAACAAGTGAAAAATACTTTTGCCTATACTGACTAGCAGCTGTATGAGACAGTTAACTCTCCAATGGAAGGTAAGCTGATCCCTGTTCGAACAAAACAAAAAGACTAGAAAGACACCCAAGAATTCAAGGGACCATGTCCTTGATGCAGCAGTTCCCAGCCTGGGGATGAAGACAGATTAGCAAGCTCAACACCTAACCATTTCACTACATCATCAACAAAACAAAACCAGCTTTACCTCTGCCTTTTGCTCATACTCTCTTGGGTACTTCAGTTCTGAACCTATTTGATAGTCTCTGATTTAGCTCCTAAGACAGGGCTCAATTCTTCTTGGAATTAGATTAATGTTAACAATTCAAGTTGGCAGAGGAGACCAATGGGAGGACAACAAATTGATTCAGAAATGTCCTAAGTTCCACTTGCTTCTGAGAAAAATATGACAAAGCAGCAGTGGAGTGAAGTTGAAAAAGAGAGTCACCCAGACTAACTTATTCACAATTCTTTGAAGGTAAAATGTGTCATCATTATTTTGTTTCCTCCAACATCAAGAATAGTTGGCTTTAGATTTGTGTTTTTTCTACATTCAATATACAACAAACTCTACCAGTGCTTTTTGAATAAAGCAAGTCAACAAGAGATAAAGTTATACCATTATTGAATTACCTTTATGACTTACTAAATGTCTAAATTCTAGTACACTTAATGATTATAAAAAAAATCTATGATGGAATGTCAAGGAGAATAAGGGAGAGTAACACTTGAGAAAAGTCTTGCTTAAGACATATGGTTTTGTGAGTAGTTTTGTTTTCCATGAATTAACTAATACAACAGAGAATGAGAGAGAAGACAGAGAGAGAGAGAGACAGAGAGGACAAAAGCTGGAGAAAACATCATGCTAACTTTTCAGCAGTACAAATGAAACTTTCAGCAATTCTGAAAATTCATTTTAGCAATAAATGATAATACTTCTTGATTTGAGGTCACTCCATATGAAATCCCATCAACCCCTCTTTACTCTCAATATCTAATCTCTGTAGGCATTTCAGATCTTTGTTAAAGCACTTCAGCAGCAATGATTCTATGCTCATTTTTAAGATAAAAGATGATTTCTGTTATTTGAAAGGCAGTGACAAGAAGAGCAGGAGAGAGAAGAAGAGGAGAGAGAGGGAGAAAGAGAAGAAGAAGGAGAAAAGAGAAAGAGGGAGAAAGAGAGAGAGATCTTCCATTCCCTGCTTGAGGTCCCCAGTGATGGTAATGTCCAGGACTAGGTCAGGCTGAAGCCAGGAGCTTGGAACTCCAGCTAGGATTCCCATATGCAGGCAGTGACCTAACCAAGTGTTTAAACCTGGTTCTGCTACTTTCCCAGGTGCATTAGAGGGGAGCTGGATTGGAAGCCCACAGCTGAAACTTGAACCAGTGCTACAGTGTCTTACTAACAACCTGTGCAATGTGTAGTCCATCTTTGGAAAGCAGAAGCCAATCCTTTACATGTTCTGATTATCTGCTGTTTGTTCTTGGGAATGCTTTGCAACAGAGAACACAAAAAGAAAAGTTAGTTTTTCTAACTATCCATCTAGTGGCTCACATTTCATATTGATTAAAGAAGCCTTTGTTTCTTTGCTTTTGTTTTGTTTTAACTGGCCTCGGGGAGACACTTCTTCAGTTTATTGATTCTAAAGACATATTCCAATTCAACAGTTTTCTAAGCCTGACTTCTGCTAAACTAGTGCCTTGATGCTCAAAATCCTTAGAAATAGGACTGCAAATTTTCCTCCATCTCAACATTGTCATTTAATTCTGAGAATCTCTGGAATACGAGAGGAGAAGTGAATTAACACGCCCTTTGTGAATTCTTACCTGGCATAGATTGTTGTTGCTAGTAGACAAAAATGCTGCTACATACAAATCTGTTCCATGTAGTGTCTCCAGAATTATTTTTGTTCTTTTATGTTTTAGTGTTAGTCTCCCAAGTTCCAGTTGAAAAATTTTCTAAGATTTGATTAGGTCACTATGGGCTCTTTGTCCCTGTATTCTCAGAGCACTTTGATACAGTTGGGAGGCAATGCCACTTACTGTGAACTTTGTTCCTAACTCATCACCCTGTTAAAATCTCCCATATACTACTGTCAAACCACGTTGGCAAGAACTGATCTAGGTCTTTTTTTGTCCTTATTTTTTTCTCTTATGCATTCAGCCATGCTCTTAGTCATTGCCTGTGATCTCTGCATGGCTATTACCAGCTCTCTGTGCTATCCCTTGGTACTCCTTAGGTCCTGAATAGTGAGGACTAGAGCATTCCAGTGGGGAGGGAAGTTTAAGCTACAGCCTGAGACTCCAACACCCATAGGCAGGTCCTTATTCCAGCTTTCACTGTTCCACTTCTGACCTAGCTTTCTGCTAATGTGAGCAGGAAGGAACCCATTATGGTTCTACATGGGTTCCTACCATTCTTAGGCACACCTTGATGGATTTCCAGTTTTCTGACTTTGGCCTGAACAATTCATGGCTCTTTTAGGTATTTGAAGAATAGACCACGTGATAAAGACCTCTCTCTCTCTCTCTCTCTCTCTCTCTTCTCTCTCTCTTGCATTATGAATGTGTGGGAGGAGTGGGTGTGAGACTCTGCCTTTCAAACTAATCAAACATCTGAAAGATTAAGGGTTTGGAGAACTTGAAATATGATGCATTAATTATCCTGCCAGACCTGTGCTTTCTTGATTTCTACTGTGTTCTCTTATTCCTTCTGTTACACCAGGGCATGTCTCAAGTCTTCACTCTGAACATGAGCCAACTGTGTATGTTATATGTTTTCTCATGTTGCTCACCGTGAGTTTAGTCTTCCTGTTCATACTTCTCTCTTATATTCTTACTCTCAGAGGTGTTATGGACATTATCTGCCTCCTTGCTAATTTTCATCAGGATAATGTCTTCCAGGTCCATCCGTGTTGTTGTAATAAAGATTTTTCTTTATTGATAAGACTGAATAGTACACATAAACATATACATATATGTGTATGTATATATGTATAAAATCACATTTTCTTCACTTATTTATTTGTCAATAGCCACTTAGGTTGGTGTGTTTTCTTGGCTCTAATGAAGAATGATGCAATTAGCTTAGAATTACAAATATCTTCAACATATTTATTTTGTTCCAGATATATACAGAGAAGTGGAATTATTTAATTACATGGAGTCTTATTTTTAAATTTGGTAGAAATGTCTTATAATGACTATGAGCATTTATACTACTACTGAAAATTTACAAAAAAAATTTTCCTCTTACTTACCAATTGTTATTTTCTGTTTAGCTAATAAATACTTTAGTAGGAGTGAGATAATGGCTCTTTGTGGTCTTGATTAGCATTTTTCATATCTTAGCATTTTTTCATATACATTTCAGCCATTTGTATGTCTCTTGGAAACAAATATTCAACATCCTTATTTATTTCATAGTTTGTTACTACTATCAGGTTAATGAGCATGAATTTCTAATATATTTTGGATAGCATCTTTTGTTCTTTATAAAATTTATAATTCTGTCTAATTTTAAAGATGTTTACTTTTTTATTTGAAAGGCTTAGTTACAAAATATTAGAATGGGCTTGACACACTAGCCTAGTGGCTAAACTCCTAGCCTTGTGTTTGCTGGGATCCTATATAGGTGCCAGTTCCTGTCTCAGCTGCTCCACTTCCATCCAGCTTCCTTTTTCTTTTAAATAAAGATTTATTTTATTTTTACTGGAAAAACAGATATACAGACAGGAGGAAACAGAGATGAAAATCTTCCTTCTGTTGGTTCACTCCCCAGGCGGCCACGATGGCCAAAGCTGCACCAATCTGAATCCAGAAGTCGGGAACCTCCTCCTAGTCTCCAACAAGCAAGGAGCTGGATAGGAAGTGGGGCTTTGCTTGTGGCCTGGGAAAGCAGTAGAGGATGGCACAAGGCCTTGAGACTCTGTTTCCAGGTGGGAGACCTGGAAGAAACTCCTGGCTCCTGCTTTAGGATCAGCTCAGCTCTGGCCACCCATACAAGATGCCAGTGCCATAAGGTAGAGAATTAGGCTGTTGTGCCACTCTTCTGGCCTGCATAAATATTTTATTACATTTCATAGACTGTCCTTTGTGCTAATGATTGCTTTCATTATTGTGCAGTATGTTTTTAGTTTGGTGTAGCCTCACTTGCTTATTTGTTCATTTCTTGTCGTTGCTTTTGTTGTCATATTCAAAAGAACATTACTAATACCAATGTCAATGGGATTTATCTTATTCTTTCTTCTAGAAGTTTTACAATATTAGGTCCCAGTTTAAGATTTTAATACAGTTTGCAGGTTTTGTGACATAGTGAGATGGAAGGATCCAATTCCCTTTGGTTTTAAAGATTTCACCCTTTAATTTCACAACAGCTACATAATATTTAATAATAATTTTATCATATATTAGGTGACTTGATTTTTGAATCATGCTGGCTAGATTCACATTTGGGTTGTAAAGAGGAGTTTGACCACATCAGACTGATATTTTATTTCTAAAATCTGAAGTCCACCTGAGTGACTCAATAATGAGGAAATGGTGACAGTATGCTGACCAATATGGAGACAGAAAAACCATTAAGCGGCAGGTTAAAGGAGACAGCAGCCCTCCAACTGCTCTGAATACAGAAGCTAACCTATTAAGG